GCCCTGTGGTCCCGGCTCGTTGTACAGCTGCAAGCTCTTCCTGGACTGAGGAAGAGGGGACTGACAGCTTCCGTATGGAGCGGGGGTGAGGCTTCCCGGCAAGGTGAGGAACACCACGCCAAGCGAGCAGAACCACACGATGTTGCATTGATAACCTGTGCTTCCTGCGACTGTCAAAAAAAAAGTGCTCAGGAAAGCCTGAGGGAACCTACTTTTGTAAACGAGGACTCTAAAGTATCTTATACTGAAAAAAAAACCCCTTGTATTTTTTCTTCTGTGAAGGAAATGTCTCTCTCTGTTCTGGGGGGGATTATTACATTTTTAAATAAAGCAAAATGAAATAAAAGCACAAGGGGCACCGCCCACCTGACAGCTTGCGCTTTTTTTTTTTGTCACCACTAGACACTTTCATTAGACAGACGAGTGCCCTGCAGCATACCCACCTGACACTGGAAAGAGTAAGAATTCAGAACGCCTTTCTCTGCCAAGGTTTTTCTCACACAAAGATGCTTATTTCACAGAACCCCCGTGCCGTTTCCAACATGCAGAACTGTCCACGGAGGCAGGGCAGCGATGGGGACAGGGCAGTGCTGCGTGGTGCATCTGCCCACGGTCACCACACCAGCCTCCCTGCACCCTGTCTGCCTGCCCAGCTCACAGCAGCACCTGCAGCCAGAAAGGGGAGCAGCAGCAGCGAACAGCTGGAGAGGGGCAGGAGGGGAGGGCTTGCCTTTGGGTCACCAGTGCCCACCGACCCAGGGTTTGCTGCAAGTTTCTGTAAGCATTTTGTAATAAGGTTCTTAAGAACTGATGCTCTGTAACTTGAATGTAATAACAAGTATATGTATCCCCCCAAATCCATATTGATTTACAGATTCATTGCTGCAGTTTAAAATCAAGACTGAGTTTTTTTTTGTTTCAGGTACCTGGAGAGGGGGCAAAGATGCGCTAGACAAGAACGTGCTCTGCAAATACGAGAGAGGCTGGAGTACACAGTAAAAGCCAGTATCTTTACTTTAGTGAATGCAGGATACAAATATTTTACAACAACCTCTAGCATTTTCTTAACCATTTGATAAAAAGTTCACTAGAATATTTATTGTATATTGAAGAAAAAACAACACATTCAGGGAAAAAATTGAGATTAACTTATTTTTTTCTTAAAAGATTCGTCTCAAGGATGGCAACAAAGTCCAGCTTGTGCCGCCAAACGGCTTATCATCATTAAACCGTGAACAGCTTCTTTGTGAACTGTTGACTACAAACATTTACCAAATACATAAATCTCTTTTAAAAAAGCCATTTTAAATATAGCAAAGCAGTGTTCTCTTGCACAGCAAAGTGAAGAAAGTTTCTACTAAGATTTAAATGTTTACATTTGTTAAGTCTTTCTTTCACATTCTAATTTAACTTCTTCCCGTGATCAGTTGTTAGGAGTTATTTTGTTCCTTATTTACTATGTATTTCTTGTGCGCACAGTAATTCGCAAGTTTCTGATGCATTAGTGTCCTTTAAGTGAAAGGAAAGGCTAAAGCATTTTTCTCTGACAAATCCCTGATAACATGTATTTTTAAACACTATAGTGAGAGCTCGAAGATGGAGAGGTGATTTGTCACAATAGCAGATAAAAATCGTGAATCATTCAGTCTTGAATGGGTTCAGACTAGGATTGGCTCCACCTGCAACTTCATTCAATATAGTTAATTTAAAAAAGTATGGTTTACCTGTTGAAATATCTGTGCTATGTCATCTTTTCTTTTTTTTTATAAAACATTTTTACAGTTCCTAAAAAAGTATGTTCCAAAGTCAGTTACTTCTTATTAAAAATCAGGATTCCCATTTATTCAACGGCATGAGATTCTCCCCGGGACAGGGGAGGTCTTGTTTGTTCTGCGGAGTCTGGTGGAGGGCTTGGGGCAACACCTGAACACTCCCCTCAGCAGTTCATAAGAACTGTTTGGTTTTTTTTTTTTTTTTAAATTCATTGGTGCAATTTCAATACAAACTCTAACCCTTACATAGCTTTTTTCTTTAAGAAAACAGTAATAGTACTGTTTAAAAACCTGCATAGAAATAAAGACTATTGAGATACAGTCAGCAAAGCCATCTTATAAGGCACACAAGAAAATAGACAGTAAATGTGAATGCAGAACTCCCACTCAGATGTACAGCAAAGTTCATATATGTGCATAAATAATGAAAAAATCACACAACTTCTCAGAGCATTAAAAGGTTCTCTGAAGTGGTAAGTGAATTCAGTCACTTTGGAAACAGAGTTGCCATTAGAATAGGTCTCATTTTCCTCTACGCCAATAAATAGAGTAATTGCCAAAGGAAAGTGGCTGAAACGAATGGAAACCTGTACATTTTTTAAAGTTACCATGACAACAAGAGATCCGTTTTGGAAGCTGTATGTACTGACTTTGTTCTTCAATCACACATTAAAGCAAGCAGCCGAGGAGATCGCTGTCCCCCTTGGATTTCCATTTTTCACACTTCTTAGTTACAGGATCAAGTAAGTGATTTTTTAAATGACAAAAAAGAAAAATTAAAGCCCAAGCAAAAAGTTAATAAATATCAGGGATAACTTTAAAGGAGTTTGGACAACAAAACAGCACTCTAGTTTCTTCCCCAGAACTAGAACTACCAGCAGGAAGATTTATTTGTATCTATTAATTGGGTTCCCAGCACAAACGAACACTTCCCACATGCAGAGAGGAGGTGCACAGCAAGGACCTGGAGAGAGATCAGGTTTCGACAACGCGAAACCGGCTCCACCAAGCCAGGCTGGTACCAGCCCCTACACCCAGCTTTCGGCTCCTGAGACGTTTTGCTGCTCAAAGCCGGCGCCTCTACCCCCCTCCGACAGACTGGTCGGGGCAGGGCCTAGAAGTTATCGGGAGAGACAACACTGCCCTTGCTGTCCCTGTCACGACACAGCCAGGTTGTGCAAGTACGATCAAGCTACCGAATCCAAGCACGAAACAAAACCTCTCCCTGCCAGCCGTCGGGACACGACGGGCCTCCGGTCTCCTCGCTCTATTTCATGGAAGCAGCAAAGGGGAACAGCAAATTTATTTCTGAGGCTGAGGCTTTATCCCAAACCACTTACCAACTTAAAAAACCTTTTGTGCTCATCTGATATGTGTTATTTCCCTATCATGAGAAATTAGGTCAAGTTTTTCCACTGTTTTTTTTTTTCCCCCCTCCTCAGAAGAGGCAGTTTTAAATGATGCCTTAAAATGTGTTGTAACAGATTTTTTTATATTTATGCAGGATGAACTTAACACCGGATTTTTTTTTTTGCCACTTTGCTATTTATATACATATATATAAAATGTATAATGAAGCTTAACCATACAGCACAGAGATTACAATTTAACGGCACACATTCACCACCAGTGAGGGGGACAACCCCTTTATACACCCTCTGAAAAATCTGGATAATAATATTAATAATAATTAAAATCCAAAGAAAGTACAGTATATTTAACAAAATAGTAAATATTAAACAGTGAATACTCTACTTAATAAGGACCTCGCCTTTTTTCAAGTTGGCGTCAATCCACAAAAATATACTTTTTAATCTGGTGAACGTACAATACATAGGTACTTACACCAAAGGTGATAATATATTTAGGATGCTATATACACAAAGAGTTTGGCTCAAATTTAAATTTACATATAAGTGTTCATGGCTTATTTTTCCCCCAAGGTTCCGCCTGCAAGTTTTTCCTTTTCATCTTTGAAAGCAAAAACTAGAAAGTCAAAATAAGATAAAACTATACTCTACAAAAAAGCTACAACATACAGCTTTGGCTTATATAAATAATTCATAGCAGAATGTGTTCAAAAGTACTGTATATAACTTTATATATAGTCTTCAATTCATTAGGGTATTGTTTTCTTTAATATAAAATATACATGAGCTAAAATCCGTTTCTATATTTTTTCAAAGGTATGAACGTAAAAACAAATTTGTCAAACATATTCCAATTATAACTTAATATATTAATTTTATTTTGTTAACGTTCTATTTTCTAGGCTAATATCTTCTGAATATTTCATGCGAGTTCTCTATGTCTCTCTTTCACTCATTAAAAAAATCACTTCTTTGACCCAATACACTATTTTTTTTGCACGTGCAAAACAGGGTTTTTGTTTTTTTATTTCTTATAGCATCAGCCCTTCTCCATGCACCCTCTGCAATAGAGACCCATGCCAGGTTGGGTAATATAAAGGTCATTTTATGTACAGTATTGCTTTCTTCTTCCTGCTTTTCTACTGCTCTGCTGCTACAAAGCATTATTTCTTAACTACGAGTAACCATACAGCTTGAATAAAACACACAGGGACATTACTACAGGCGAGCCCTCTTGGTTTCTGCAATCTAGTGTGGTAGGATTATAATGCGGGTACAATGTTTCTTTGCAAAACAGGTTATATTATTAAAACAACAAGTCCAGGTAAGTGCCAGACTAGATCAATACCTATAGGATTGTTCTGTTACATTTTACCATGGGACATCTGCAGCTATACAAGAAGTTTGTCATAAGTGCCTGATGATTTTGTGTATGCTACACACACTAGCACATATATATGCATGTGAAGATATATATATGCATGTATGTATATACATATAAATATACTTATTTCATGTCCTTATTTATAAATTTAGATATGTCAGGACAGTTCATTCTGAGAACACAAAACTGAAGAGGCAACACTGCAAGTTTATGTCACCCATGTGTCCATCCTCATTCGTTTTACCGATGGACTCTCTCTATCTTCAGAATTCGGTGGCCTCCCCAGCACGACAGGCGAATGGAAATCGCTTCTCGGGTCTTCCCGATCGCTGCCATCGTAGGAGCTGCTGGAGCTGCTGAGACTGTCAACAGGAGAGCGACCCATCTCCTGCCGCGACTGCTGCTGCTGCTGCTGCTGTGGTTGTGGCTGCTGCTGCGGGAACCCAGAGGGAGTTACACGGTCCCGGGGAGGTGAAATTGGTTCAGATTTTATGTTGATGTTTTGGTTGGTATTAATGGATAAATTTGAACCCTGAGATAGCTGGCTGCCAGTACTGGGAAAAAGAAAACCAAAAGGCAGAAATAAGAAAACACGAAAAAGGAAAAGAAAGTGACAATTCACGTCTCTGTGCGATGGTGTGGTCTTGTGGTTCAACACCCTCAAAATGAGCACGCAAATAAATGCAACTTACTGGAGTGAAGAAACAAAGTTGGAAAAAAGCATTAATTAAGGGTCTGAATGCATTTATAGAAGTTAAAAACAAACAGAAATATTTCCAAACATTTAAGTTCATCATGCAGGTGACTCCTTTGTAAGAGGCTGGGCCTGCAGGGACACAGCTTGTCAGCTTGAGCACTGAACTAACTGAAAAAAAAAAAGGGACAAACAACATGAAACACAAATGCTTTTGCAGCCGAGGAGCACACGTGGAAGGCAATGCCCATCACCAGCAGACAAGAAATTAAAACGGTCTTGTGCTAAACATTCCCCAGTGCAGATTATTCAGCTTGGAGCGGCAGAAGTTCCCGACCGGGCGCAGGACAGTAACGCTACCAGATGTACTTACACAAGAGAGCTGAGGGCTGCTGGACCGAGATGGTGCTGTTGCCAGGCAGATACCTGCCCTAAAGACAGCATTCCTGGGGAGTTAAATCCCTGCAAGGCAGACAGGTCTGCACTAGTCAAGGAGTAATCTAAGAGGGAAAAACAAATAAACAACAAAGTAGTTTATAGATTTGGGGTTTTTTATATATACATAAAAAAAAAGTGAGAATATGTGATATGCACACACATAAACATAAAGGCTTTCTGCCCAAAACAAATAAAGGCAAGTGACCCAAAGGAGTCCAAACATGAAAGCTTTGAAGTCTGGGAGCAGTCCTCCTAGCTTCACAAGGAGCTTAACAGGAAATAAACCCCCAATGACAATTTTTTTGTATTCTGCTTTCAATTCCTACATGTTGCTGTCTCATATAGCTTCTTCTAAACCCACAGGTACAACATATTTATGCATTTTTATATATATATGTGCATCTTGCAGCAAGAAAAGTATTTGCATTTTTGAAGATTTTAGTCTGCATGGAAATTTCAAAATGAAACAAAAAGGGAAGAATCAATACAAGTTATTAGAAAGGAATGGAGTTTCTTGCACTGATGGGAGGCAGCAGCTAGTCAGGTGAGATGCAGAGACCATTTGGCCGGCTCACGTTACAAAGCAGTCCATAGTGCTACCACCTATAGCCAAAACCAACCAGCGGAACAGCGCTGGCTGCTACCTGCCTGGCTGCCAGGGCAGGCAAAGGGACCCTCGAAAGGCGGGGACCGGTGCTCGTGCAGCTGCGGGCTGGGTGGGGAGGCACAGGCAGGGCTGGGGCTGGACGCCTGAGGGATGGAGTGACCCAAGTGACTGCAGCTGGGAGCCTCAGCGACCCCTCTGTCCGCTCCCTTTGCGCAGTCCTACTGTAACGCATCACATTCTCCCTCTCCCCACAATAGCTTCACTCGCTACTTTATGTCTGATTAAAATGTCATCTCTGTATCAAATAAACAAAAGAAACCTCTTTGTTTAGAACAAAAAATTGTAATTATTTAGAAATACAACTTAAATGGATAATAGGAAATACAATATATTCCTAATCAACAGTCAGTGAGACTGGCTGTTAGTTTTGGCTCAGCTATAATGCTTAGACAGTTCTCACTTCATTCACACAGGGGAAGTTATTTTCACTTTATCACTTATGCTTTTCTTTCAGGTTTTAAAACAAAGCCGCAAATACTTCTCTGTTTTTAATTACTTTGTAATATAGCTTCTTTAAAATAATTCCTAGTCTCTTGAGAATGAGGCAAAATGCTAGCAAAAACTTACTTTATACTGCCAGCAGATGAACCAAAAATTCTGCTTAAGTAGGGTTTGTGTTTTGTTCTGTGTTTGGTTTTAGCTTTTTTCGTTTTGTTTTCTGGGGATTTTGGGGTTTTTTTAGTATTGTCCTAAAATGACACCGCCACTAAGATTTATCTCTCTTGAGATAAGCTCTCTTGAACAACTTCCCGATTCCCATCCACCAACTTGTTTGCTGTGGACAACTTCTAGGTTTCCCTTTTAACAGCCTACAAAGGAAGGAGAGCCCAGCAGGGTATTGTCCTTTTCAGAGACGCATATGCGTCACTGCAAGAATCTACCTGAAGTCCTTGGGAAGCCCAGCTGCACCCCAGCAAGTGAAGCTACTTAAGCTGCCTTTTTGTTTCATTTCTTCTCAGTTGACGTTTTTATTGGAACTCTGAAAAACCCCCACAAGTATTTCTGCACAGATTCAGAAAGATTTTGCCCAAGCTGATCCATCCAAAGCGCTTTTGTAAGACTAAAATAAAAACAAACAAAAAAATCCAACCCTCCAATGACTAGGACATGCACTCAACCTTCAAAGCAGCCAGACCTATGGCAACATGCAAGTGTAGTAAATGTAAACACTTGAGATGGATATGCTATTGTGTGCCAATGGGATTTCTGTAAGACCTGAAGAAAATGTTTATAGGAATTCAGTTTCCATGTATTTTTTCTTTGCAATTACAGCTTTTATGATAATGGACAATTAACTTCTGGTACTTTAGACAGAACGTGTCTGACGACAGGGGTTTGAGGAGATACTTTTCCAAAGAATACATATGCCACTACACAATTAGCTGCATTACCATTTCCCTAAATGATGATATATCTGCTAGCAGTAAAAGCAGGACACCAATTTCTATACATAAGTGGCTTGGTGCAAGATGGAAAAGTCGTTCAGACAAAAGATTGCGTGACAGAAACCATTACTGCTGTAACCCTAACAACAAGATACCTTTGAGGTTTGTGCCTTTGCAAAATAACTGACCTAAAGCCAGTAATGTAATTTATGGCTAGATATGCTCTGTCAAGTGTAAGTTACTATTTAACTGATCTCTGTGGTTTTTGAATATTTTTTTAAAATGCCTAGATTGTTTTAAAACGAGTAACTCAGTTCCTTCTGGCCCTTCCTCCAGCAATCTGCAGAAAGAACACTTCTCCAGCAAAACAAATTATATAGAATAGTATATTTGTGCAAAACTTATATCCAACATTTTAATTAAGGATCTAAGAGCTGAATCTATCCTTTCCAGCCCTTGAAAAAAAACCCTATTGTTCCAGAAAAACAATATAGGTATCTAAATTTTATCTTAGTCCTTGAACGGCAAAACTGAAATTGCTACGTAAGTGGTGACTACCCTGAGAATACCCAGATGACAATTTGGTTTCAACATCAAATTTCTTTTTGCAAATCCCCTGAAAGGCTCAATCTAATAGAAACAATTTTAAAGTGTCTGAAAAACACTAAAGTCTAAAAGCTTTTCACAAATTATTGCATTATCAAAGGAAATGGACTGGGTTTTAAAATCATATCCCAGTGAAAACAGCACTTGTCCATTGCGTAGGACACCAGTTTCAATTGTCTTTGCTGCTTCCTGAAATTCAGACTACAGTCCCTCTCACCCAAAAAAGCCTCTTTTAGCCATCAGCTTATAGGTTATTCTGGATGAGGGACACACACAACACTGCCTCCCGAAACAATGTCAGACTGCACGAGAGAATGAAGGGATTTGTTAGGCGACAGGTAAAACTCAACATGGGTCTTCTGAGCAGGGACCAGAACTATTTGTTTACTTCAAACAGCCATTAAATGCAATATATAAACAATCTTTGTGGCAAGCATGAAACCAAGATCTGTATGTCCAGCAAATTCGTACTTAAGCTTATAATACAGAACAAGTCACCAAGTACAATTCTTCACTCTGCTCATTATACTGTTACTGCAACCCCATCTTCTCCTTCGTTCATTTCTTTAGACTTTAACCCCCTCAGGGTAGCAATTATTTGCATAAATGTTCAACAATTTAGTTGGGTGCTACCGCAGTATAAATATTTACTGTTGCTGATGACTAAACAGTCCCTCTCAAAATGCAAACCTCATGCATGCCGTGCACTGCTTGGGGGCAGTGCCTCTGAGGCAAACCAATGCAGAAAGTGGCTGAGGGGCAGTAAACGTCAGTTAATGAGCACATTAATACAGAAAGATACCAAAACATATGAGTTGTTTGGCTGGCTACAAGTCTAAACTAAAATCTGTAGTGAAGACTTTCAAAGCTAAAAAAAAGTGGAGAAAATGTATAAAATTGCATCTTCTTTGTGGTGAAAATTATTATGAATAGGTGGCTACTTTATCTATTCCATCTTCTAACATTATATATTCTTGATGGCTCCCCTCCTTGCAGAAAACATAGAAAATTACAAAACCTCTGTATCACTCAGGTTTTAGCCATTTTCTACAAACCTGGAAGGTTTTTTTGGATTTGTCCTGACCTTTGCACAAGAGTAAGAACATTAGGTCACTGTCAATAGACCAGCACAGCATTTTACCCTTTCTTAAATATATTATCACAGAGGTGCCACCAGCATTGCTGATGGGCTCAGCTTCGGGCAGCAGCAGGTACATTTTGGAGCCGGCTGAAACATGCTTTGTCTGACACTGGGGCAGCTCCTGACGTATTCTTAGAGAAGCATCCCCTGCAGCACACGTGTGTCCTTGTGCCCCTTCACCCCCACCACTACCAAAGCCTTGCCACGTAAACCCAATACAGTGGCTCCTTAAGGAAAAGCGATTTATTCTTTCCTAGTATGCCCTCCACTGCCTCCCAGCTTCCTGAGCATCTCATGCCTGCCAGCTACTTATGTACAGCCAAAGACGATACAGGTTGAGGGAAGAGATGCTACTGGGGACGTGGATCTTCCTAGATTCATAGAAAGAAGAAAACAATACTCTCAAGCCCTTCTGTCCAGCCAGAGAGCCAGAGCTGATCAGCTATAAAGGGAAGCTCTCTAGTGTAGCTCAGTTTCTAAAAGCTATCATTGCAGAAGAGAGAAGCAAGATGTTTGGGTTTTTTTAGAATTTGAGTCTACCAAATAAGACAAACATTGCCAACACAGTGGTCCCCAGTTCAGAAATTCCTGTTTTAACAAATTATAGCACTTATATTTGAATGTCTTAACTAGACTTCATCTAAAAAGAACAGCGAACTGGGGAATTATTTCCTTTGTTTTCCTTTTTAGTTTTAACCAATAGCTATTTAACTCTGACTTACAAAATTCATTGACACTTATCTGCAATGTAGTTTCTCTGCATCTGAAAATTAAACTATGCATCACAGATCAATGGTAATCAACCTGACGCCGTCAAGGCTGCAGCCTTTCAAGGAAATGATTACAAAAATTCCTTTACTGATTATATACAGGGTCTGTAACAAACAGAGAACCTTGAGATTGAAGTCAAAATTACCTCTGTTGGTACTGAGACAAAGTAGTAGGCACCACATTACGAACTACTTTCCAAACCAGCATACTAATTATCACTCGTATTACCAATTCCTTGCATTACACTCATTTTGGATAAAAAGCAGTTTCAAGGTCCTTCAAGTAATAGAGACTCGCAGTGGTGAAATGCTGACGACGCCTTCCCGTGAGTCCCCACCTCACTCTCAATAAAACTACTGAAGAGGAGAAGGCCTTATCTGGGCTTTTTTGTAAATTGAAAGCCCCAATAGAATCCGATTCCCTCCTGCTGCTGGAACTGGGCAGAGCAGAACGCAAGGGACAACGTGAGGCATTTCAGTTCTCAAATGGAAAGCTTGAATACTACTGCTATAAGCAATGCATTTTATTGTGTGTCTCTCTGTATTCAGCTGTGTGCAACCTGACTGACTGAAAGCTTCTTCCTGATGTCTCAACATTTACACATTTTACAAGCTAAAAGCTCATTCTTGATGAGTAAGAGCCTTCATTTGAACTGAACAGAAAAATAAAGTGAAGTGTCACAGAAATGCAAATTTTCTGGGCTTATGAATCACAAAAGCCTTGTACATCTGACAAATCAAGCCACTTACTAAAAACAATGCTTACCAGTGTTGTAGGCAGTAGGCATGGCCGAATACACCAATCCCTGTGGAGGCAAGCTTGGAGTTGTCACGGACACCACAGGGGTAGCAAGAGGCTGTGTAGACTGAGAACTACTTATCCTTTGGGTATTCTATAAATGATTAAAAATAACAACATGTCTTGTGATATCAGTTAGAACAATGGAAAATCAAGTGCTAATATAAAAATAGCATTCAATTAAAACGTGTTTCTTTGCTTTATTTTTTAGTTACGAATACATCCTTTTTGTCAGGATAGATTTTCTAAACAAGCCAAAACATTTCAAGACAACCAAAATTATCTTGGCAAACTGAAATGAAAAATTAATTAAGACTCACTGGTCCACTTCCCATGCATGCAGATTTCAATAGCGTTAGAGTTGTAGGACATAAAAATAAATGCAAATTCATAGGGATATACACAACAATTCTCAGAAGTTCTTAAGTGATTTAAGAGTTTTTAGTCTTTATTTTTTAAAGAGGTTTTAGTGCAGATGGTGAGGTGCAGTTCCACCAGAAAAGAGTCTCCCACTTCCCAGCTGTTTATCCAATTTCCAAAATTTTAGTTGCCAGTTTTGACAGTGTGCTGACTACACCTGTCCTGAAAGGAACACAGAAATCTTCTAAATTTGTGTTGATAAGACTTCAGTGATAAAATAATCTTGCTGTTCCCATGGTTCCTGAGAAACTGAGAGAGTACTTGTTATAATGCAGATATGTTTTAAAGCAAATGACACTTGAGTTCACACAGAGCAACTGTGCTTTTTGACAGGAAAAATAGCTAAACCAGATTGTCTCAGATTATCTGAGGCACAATGTGGCTCTTTAATAAGAGACTTTCTTTCCCATATACCGGAATGAACATCTGTAGCAAACATATCACAAATTAAGCTCTTTAACCAAATTTGCTGTTTAGAAACCCTTGTATTAAACACTGTGGTGAATACCACCAGACAGCAAAGCTGCTCTGTCACAGAACGTACTCTTCTTCATGTAGCAACTTCAAATCTTTCTTCAAAATACGTAGTTCAACACCATTTAGCCATGCCAGATACTGTGAAGAACAGGAAATGCTACATTTTTTTATTTTTAAACAACAGATACTTGGTTTTACCTACAGAAGTCTTAGAAATACTAGAAGTAGTAGAAGTCTCTACACCCTGTATTTCTACATTCTTACAGAACCATTCCCGATTAAGGGAGCTGGATTTCTAACTGCTGAAAATATGTTTTTAAAGCAAGCCTCCCTCTACCTCTGAAAAAATATTTGCTACAACAGTCGAAGTTTTTCATCTCTTTGGTAGAGTTCCATTTCCTAGCTTTAAAAGATTGAAGCTACTACTACTTTTTCCTTATTTTGGACAGGTATACAACTATTTCAGTAATTGCAGAACTTAATTTTTCTCCACTCTGACCTTGAGAGAGTGAGCAGTATTAAAAATGCATGATTCCCTTTATAATAATGGAATGAGCAGGTACAGAAACATGGCTTTATTCAATTTTAAGCTTAAACTTGCGAAGATGAATTGAGGGCTATCAATCCTTGGCTTGTATCTTTCCAATTTAAAGAAAAAAGTATACCACAGCTACCATATTAAAATTAGCTATAATCTTCTACTGGCCACGAGCTTCTGATCTCTGTTTTGTCTGGCTGCTGTCGAAAGCCCACCTTTGAGCCTTGTAAGAATTTGGAGGCTCTCTGGCATTTGTGCAGCAGATGTACCCACGCTGCTCCAGAGCTCCCAGATTTCAAAGCCCTAAGTCACAGAGAAAGTCCCACTGATTTTCTGTGTAATTTATCCCTTTAAATCACTTACGTACTTCTGAAAATCTCCACTAGACCAAGTTTATCTGGCATAAAGATACGTTATTAGAGCAGATTTTTGTGTCTGTCAGGAATTGACCTTTTTCCAAAGCTTTCTTGGATGGCAGCCTATAAAGTTAGGATTACTGTAAAATGGAAAAGTTAGAGGAGTATACTGGGAAACAATCCAGACCAAAGGATTTCCCCAGGGGATTTTTTTTTTTTTTTTTTTTTGAGTGGCTAATAAAGGTGGTTTTCTGAGGTAATTTATTTATGAATATAATTCCTGAACACTCAGCCATACAAAGACACTAAGAAATATTTAGATGTGTCTAATATTTGTTGTACTTGGAGATTCAGCCAAAGATTCATGACAACTTTCAGGGATTTTTAAATTTTTTTTTTTAACTAAAAATTAATTTTATTTCACACTATGCTACCATTCCTATCTGTTTTTCATATTCACTGCTCAGTTCCAACCATACAGAATGAATATTCACAGACATGATTTGGAACTGCTTTCTGGAATTAGCATCAGAAATTAGCATAGTAAGAGATGTAACACTGCAGGTGTACTTCATATTTCTTTTACCACATTTGAGGAAGACACTACTACATTTTCTTTGTGTGAGCTTTCTTCCCCTAACAGATGAGCCCAGTTTTTAAAACCACTAGAGGGCCCACGCTCCACACAGTATCCATAACCCAACCCGCCCTCAGCAAGTCGCACTATTTCACACTGCAAAGAGCATAGCAATTTTTAGCAGGTAGGAATATCTTAAGTCAAGTGCTTTTGCATAATTCCAATTGCAATGCTATTTTGATTAAGTGTTTTTACATTGAATTAAAGCTCTATTTCTTGCACTGGAAACCAGACACTCCTCTATGAAGGTGAGAAGAACATGCATGGCAGCTGTTTGTAACTGCAAGTCATTCCAATAAACCTTAAAAACTTAAATACTGACTTTCAAAAATCATTTTCCCTTACTTACTTTTGTAAATCTATTGCTCATGTTTAAGGTTAAAAAAAAAAAAAAAAAAATCAACCAACAGCATGCATTCATCAAGAAATTTATCTAAATCACTACTTTTCCCATGCTTTCATGCAATTAGAGCCTCATATTAGCAACAGGTCCATGTTCAAAAACAAATCAAGGTACATAATAGGCAGACTTCTTTGTGTATCTTTACAATTGAATACTGATGCAGCATCTTCTGCATGGTTTGTGCTACAGCAGCTAAACAATTTGCAAATTGCTCTAAAAATAAGCTACAAATTATTTTAGCCTTACGTTATTTTCCAGACAGAATGCCAAATGTTAAAACCTTTTGGAAAAAATAGAGAAAACACAAATCCCAAGAGTCTCCTTTCAAAAGCAGAATATCTTTCCACTGGAAAAAGGTAGAATTATTCATTTGCAATTCTCTATTCCTTTTGGTAAACAGGGAACACCCCTGTGGTTTGATAATCTCATGCACGATGAAATAATTCTAAACTCCAAAAAGGTGACCTCACCAGCAATGATGTAATCTCCTTGAAAATAAGAGAAGTAATACAGGGCTTGTGTTACAATCCGAACAACTTCATGAGTGAAGCCACTTTCTAAAAATATTCCAATAATTTAGGGGATGATAAGTGGTTACTTATATTTTACATAAAAGACAGTAAATATCCTATACACATGGACAGTTACTCTGTAAGGCTCTTTTCCAATGTTCCCTCCAAGAAAAACAGAAATATTTTCAGGAAAAAAATTAGAAGTTTACAAATGGAAAGCACTAGACTTTGGATGTGTTTTTAACTTGAATTGGTCAGGTTTTGAGTTTGATAAAACAAATGTATTTTTGTGTGCTACCAAGGGAACACTGGAATTATTTAAAATATGTAATGAAACTACAGTTAAAAAACTGTAGTAAAAGACATTTTCAGCATCTTGCTCTCTCTCATCAAACAGTAGCCCAAACTCACCAACTCCAATTCATCCTCCTCCGACTGTACTCAGCAAACAAGAGGGATAACACAGTTACTAAAAATAGCATTGCTTTCAAAAATGAAAGAAAAAGTCACGTTTGTGCTTCAGGATTTTTATTTATTTTAATTAATAATGTGAATTTGCCACCTGATTCTGTAAATACTACTACTAGGAGGTATAATACTTTACGTAATTCAGGTCAATTAAAAAATACTGTACTGAAAGAACACACGCCCTGGCAAAATTAGTGCAGAAAGAGCTTAGTAAAAACAAGGACACAGCTACACGTTAATGACCCATGTAGATATGGAGCACACCAGTTTCTAGCTGGACTGATCCAACAAACATGCCGCTCAGTAACAAAATATTTTTCACATAAACTATCATACCATCCCAGCATCTCTACTCTGAAATCTCTTTCCAATTTCCTCAAAAAGACAGACAAAACCCAAATTGAATATTATGTTGTTCTTAACACAACAGTAAATAGGTTCTGTACACTACTAACATTAGAACAACTGCATTAACAAGATCCTCTTCTTGTATCTATTTCTAATTAATTTAAAAGTGTAATTTTCACTTTAATAATCAGCCAGTGTATTTCCTATGTCTTCTACACTTCAGTATTGCTAGAAAAACCTACAACTTCAAGAATCATTACTCTGAGGATAATTATAGCTTTTGTTATTGGATTAATATTGTATTATTCATCATGAATACCAGTAACAAATGTAAGCACTTGTGGTATCTTAAAAACAAGTAAGAATTATACAGAGAGTACTCGTATTGTTTATATCCTGCACCTCCTGGTTATGGTTCATTCTTCCATACACAGAAAACAGAAAACGTACACATAGATGTTTAAAATTTCTACATGACAGTGAAAGACTAAGACCAAAGGATCTGGCCAACCAAATTAAAGGAAAAATAGAGTAACTCTTCCTGAAAGACCTGTTCTGGTCTCAATGCTGTGGTTGCTTCATGCCTGACACGAAACTTGTGTGCTATTCCAAATCTAGGCTGAACAAACATTACTACCAACATGCCAAACTGCACAGTAGTATTGAAAAGTACACAAATAGGGACTGAGCCTGATCCTCATTACTCTTTTATGCCTTCATTGCAGACATGACATCCACCACAGGACGCACAAGGTTGCAATCCAGCGCACCACATCAAACAAGCATTTCTCTCAGACCATCATTACCACTGAAGCTACATTTTACATCCCACAACCATTACGACCCAGGAAAAACAGGTACAAAGTGTGCTTTAGGGCATGTTAATACAGTTCACATCACCAATAAGATCAGCCATTCCTCCACAGAATAATGCACAGCCCTTTTTAAAACCCACATCCTCCAAACCAACAAATTTCTCGGTACCAAGTCAGTGAGATGTCATATAAAAACAACAAAATCCCAATCTATGTCTCTAGGATTGCACTCTTAACCGCACTTAGGTCAGACTGCTATTTTACACTTTAAAAAAAAAATTCCTTACAAATGTAACTTCTCCCAAGGTAACAACTTATAACTTAGATTTTCATTAGTGGAATTTCAGAATACAAACACCTTTCTATTAATGTAACCCATGGCAAGCAGACAAGATAGTTTCTCCCTGTGCACGTGGACAGAACACTTCATTTTTACAAAGCCAGTCATAGAACAAATGTTTTAACTTACCAATGGTGGCATCATACCCTTGCTGGAGGGTGGGATGACAACACGGAGGTCGGGTTTGCGATTGTTCATTCCAAGATTACCTCCTCCAGGTGGAGGTGGAGACTTTGTAGGCATGACTTTGCCTAAGCCATTGCCACCACCAGTAGTTCCAAGTAGACTTGGTGAAGCTCGAGAATTCACAAACCCATTTCCTGAAAGAGGAAAAACAAATATACCGTAAGACTGAAGAGAAGTAGCAACACAAAATTTTGGTGCGCATATACAAATTACAAAATATTTCTTTTGTAAAACTTCCAATAACAAACTTATCACAAGAGGTGCAGTATTGAATAATCGAACAAACAAAAACCACTTTCACCAGAAGATCAATATGTAAAGGTAGTATCACCTCAAGGGCACACTGTGGCAGCTCAAACGCTGAGAAGAGCACGTTGCCAAAGAACTATTTCTAATAACATCTGTTGTGTTTTATTTATTTTGCCCTTTGAAGTTCCTCCAGGCTGAGCCTGCAAAAAATTGTGTGCTTTTGCACAACCTCACTTCATCCCCACCCCCACAGAACATGAACTACTGAATTGTTGCCTGTGAGAATAAAAAAAATCAGCTCTTAAAATCTCTATTTCTAAAATGTATTCTTCAAATGTCTTCAAGATCTGCAGACTCCAGTTATCTATTCTCTAATAAAATTAATTTCAGTCTCAAAAATATATACTGTTTGACTATTATATTTAGCAACGAGGGGAACAAATCCTTTCCCTTCAAACTCATTCCAAGCTCTGGACATAGATATACACATCATTTATGCCCATTGATTTGTTTTACCCAGGTCTTTCTCTACCTTACTCCTGATACTCATTCTAAGTAGAATTAGACAAGCCAAAGCCTGGCTTCAGCACTGAAATCCCCAAAAGCTGAATATGCTCAAGATACAGGCCTTAGCTTATACTCAAAACGGATCAGGAAAAAAGTAAAAAGACTGTAAAACAGTTAAGTGCCTACTATTCTGTTTTCCTGTACTGACAAAAGCATCAATCATGTTAACCAAAATATATTTCTCAGAAAAATTTTCAAGCCACATTCCTATGATTTTATCATATTTATAGCAACAATTCCCAAAATACACACACCTTATTCAGCTGCAAATGAAAAAAAAAGTTGTTAAGCAAGGGGAATTTCACAACAGGGAACCCTATAGTTCACACTACTGAACTTGTGTATGTGTGTGTATAAATAAATACAATTCATAGTAAGATTATGTTTATGCTAACATTGCAGTTCTGAAAGCAGCCTTTATAGTCACAATTCAGGAAAAAGTCTATTACACAAAGTTCACTGTGTGGGAAATTCTCTTCTAATAGCCTGTAGCGCCATACCGGCATGAATTTATTCTAATTTGAATAGGCCCCTATGCCCAATCCAATCTTATTACATTAAGTACCTATTAATCTAAAAGCAATTAAAATAAGAAAGTTGTCAGTGTCACATTCTACCTTCTTTAGCAAAATTTTTAATGCCTTTAAAAGCTTAGCAAGAATGAAGAACAATAACATGTATCTGTAACAGCACACTTCATGAAGGTGAGTGGTACTGCTGAGATACTTAGCTAGCGCATGTTGAGAACCTAGGTGTGAATTCACCAGGATGCTAAGGAGGGAGCCTCCTCCATTACTACTGATCCTTGTTACATGGTGGGGGAACTGCCAAATGCAATCCTCACCTTTTCCCTGTCCACCATAAATGGAACCCTACATACTGTTTTATCAATTTAGAAATGGAAAAAGTAAAGATTAATGTAAGAATTATAACAAAGCTCTTGTGCTGATCTGACGATATTCTACTGAGTTTTATAAAGGTCTTTTGGAAACAAAGTTATTGCTAAATACTTTTAAAGAAAAAAATTGTAAGTAGGTAGAACTTACTGGAATTTGCAACCACAGTATTCTTGTTCACATACGGATGAGCAATAAATTCACAACTTTAAAGCCAGGATTTCAAATTCTGGATTTACTTTCTGTGTGGTGCCAAAAGCCTGACCATACATGGGTGATCTGATAAGTCCGTTGAGTTTTTCAAGGTTAACAGAGCAAGGAGGAGTTACTCTAATTCAGTACTTTCCTGAAGCATTTGTATGGGGGTATGGGAATACGTCTTCTGAGAATTCTACCATTTAACACAGAAGTTTTGGAGGAAAGAAGGAACACGGACAGCAGAAAGAAGAAAAAGCTTTTCATGTCAGCATTCTTCCTTCTGTATTAAAAACCACAGCAAAAACTCATTTCATGATTAAAGCATCTACATTCCTCAGCAGAAAACAGCAGAATTTATTGGGACGCTTCTAGGTTAGCGATAAAATTTAAAGTGGATGAAAAGTTGGGCTGTAGCTGAGAATACATACTAGGGCTAAATATATTCTTGACTGCTAGAAGAAAACTGGCCATAGCTAGGTTACACAGAAAAACCAACCAGCCAAAAAAGAGAAATTAAATTCAGTGCTACCCCTACAGTTCCTGAACCTGTGAGACAGTTTTCACAGAATCATGGTTTTGTTAAATGGTTATGCATCAATACCTATCCATTATAAATGAGCGTAAACATTAGTTATAGACAGCCTACAAAGCATCAGATTGCAAGCGAAATCTTGCACAATGGACAGAGTAAAAATTAAGTGGATTTGGAAACAGATGTAAGGGAGGAAAAATTATTAGAAAGTAACATAACTTTCACCAAATTATATCTAAAACATTGTTACAGTATCTTCCATTTTCAGCAAAAATGCCAGAACATTTAAAGAACTTACTGTTATAAAAAAGTCCGGAGTTTAATCTAATAATAAATAGCATTTTATTACTCACTAGGCTGCCAATGTTACCTTTTATACACCAAAGCTGCAGTATCCTGAGTTGAATTTAAACTTCAGAACAATAACACTTTGTATAAACAATGGAGGTCTGTATAGCATTTTAGTCTACCCTATGATACCATTTCCTGTCCTCTGTTTTCAAGTATTTCGGTAGCTCGTGTGTTAAATCTGGACAGTGTCTTTCTTCCACACCCAATACAGTCATTTCCTGCAGCCCTTATTACAAGGCTCTGCCAATCCTTCAGAAACATTGCATGCTTTTAGTGGTGCTGTCAAAAACAACAAATTCCTTGCCATTGCCATCTCTGCGCAACATCATTCAGCAGCAGGGTAGAGTGAAAGCATTTGTTCTGACAAAAGGCTGAGCGTTTCTTAAAATGAGTGTTCAGAAAAAATATATTAAGAACAGGAGAAACAAAAAATGTTTTAAGTGTGCAATACTATGGGTATTAATCCAATATCAGCTCTGTTATAAATAGCAAGCATTGAACATTTAGCAAACACTGGAGTATCTATATTGATTATTTGAAGAATCATATGCTGGGGCTGCAATAAGACTGTAGAATATTAATTTTTAATATGACACTTAAAGCCTTTTTTCCTGTTAATAAGAAAATCAAATTATAAGTTAAGAGTGAAAGAATAACTAAAAGCATGGTATTTCTTAGAGTAAGGTCAGGAGCCAGAAAAAGATAATGATTACAGGATGATGCAACTATATGGCAGTTTGCCAAACCGAGGCTTTAATAACCCCATAAATTCTACTTACTATTTTGTATAATACAGAAATTGTATCTACCCCACCCACTATAGATCTTCCCCAAAGACAATTACTTTATATTTAAAAACACTATCAAACTGAAAAATGGAAACAGAATATCAAATCCTACATAAATGTAAAATAAGACTACTGGTTTTACTTTCATTGGAAGAGTCTTACTTAACTCTAATTCTATGAGAGCATGTTCAAAACACTTCTTTGGAAAACAGAGACCAATGCAAAGATAAGCTCTCAATTATATGAATCATAATTTAATTAGATTTTATGATAACAAATGTTGCCAATGTACATTAGCCTCCTTCTTGTTTAGTCAGAAAATGTTTACTTTTGAAGTAACTTCTTTTCTGAAACTAAATGTTAAAACCCGGCCATTTTAACAACTGTATATTCTGCCTTCAGAAACATAATACAGCTTAATCTCATTTATTGTCCTGCAGCCCAAGACGTAGCATTCAATTACATGAGCCAGACTCATATTTCACTATATAAATCACATCAGCTGAAACAATGAACACACGTGGCTGGAAAGTACTCCATGTACTTATTATACTCAAGGAATAAATTATAGTCATTGATGCCATTAATCTTTTTTTGTGGTTCACCTTTGGAGAAACTGAACAGTTATACAGAGTTTTGGAAAATAATTGTGGGCAAGCAGCTAAGCAATATAAGATTAAGCAAAAATAAGAACAGTAGTAAATAAATATTTATGCCTCAAATGACATCATACAACCCAATAAATGTCACATAATTAACAGTAAACTGAAAATCGTGTTTGCAATAAGCCATCGATTCACTATGCATCTAGAAGACCGGATAAATTCTATTGAAGAAAAACATATACATGTAGGACCCTGGTGGGGGGCGGGAGGGCGGAATGTATTGCAAATAAATACAACAATAGCATTTCTATGTGCATTGGTTGCTCAATTTACTTTTTTTTTTTTTAAGTAGTAGACAGCTTTAAGTGGAAATTAAAAAAAGAAAAAAAACAAACCACAAAACAGCATATGCCATTCATACCATTTTCAGCTTTGCACAGAAATCACTGCCGATTCTAACATCATTTCGAAAAGCCTAAGTTTTCTGCTAGCTTTGGAAAGAATTTACTGTAACATCTCAAGGAAGCTGAAATAAATGTATTTCCACTGATCTTTACAAATCAATACTTCAGATAATACTATGATTAGAATTAAAATATACCTTTGACAGTAACATAAGATTTTGAAACATGTTAGACATGCAAGATTTATACTTCTAGGGCAGCAAAAAGAAATACACATGACTAAGTATCAAGGGAATGCTTACTCATGTTACAAAACTAAAAAAACCCCTCATTTCCCAGGTTGCTGGAAAATTTTTTTTGCTACATAGAAGGAAAGACAATTTTCAAGGATATTTAAAATTTAAATGGGCCTTCTTCAAGACCAGGGTTATTATTCAGAATGCAGCAGCAAACCTAAAACAAAGGCATACTGCTTTTGTATCTAAATGTTATTCAACATTGTGTGAAACATTAGCAGTGGCAATTGGATGCCTTTCGGGTCTTTCGTCAACTAAACAGTTTACAGCTAACGAAATCAGAGTTCTACTTTCTGAACTTGTTGATTTCTATGTATCTATACAAAGCCAATGTAAAGAATGGTAAAGAATGAATGACAGAAGTGATATGTTTAGAACATCTGAGTATGTGTGGTGGTGTATCCTGCGCAAGGTGACATTATATAAATGTTGAGACTTCACACAAACAGATACACTGCAATACTTTAATCTAGCTGGGAGATTAATAATTTGTTATACATGTGGCAAATTCTAACCAGAATTATCTCGTACCTCTTAGTAAATCAGAAATTATGGTAAGATAATGAACACACATAACAATGTATGAAATTTCAACTAAAATCTAAGGACAGTTGTTCAGGGGCTGAACTGACCACATGTAGATGGGTGGTTTCCAAGGAGAGATTGCTACAATTTAAAAAAAAAACAAAAAAAAAAACACCAAAAACAAAAAACCAAACACCAAACCACACCTCAAATGCTTTCTTCTACCAGCATGTTTTTCATGCTGATTTCAGCCAGTCATTTCATGCAGCCTTGTCAATGAAAACCAGCTCAGGTCCTTTGCATGGTTCTAGCTCAATGCCATACGCGAAAAGTATGGAAGAAAAAGTAGCGATCGGGTAACAGTTGTACTTCTTTTGAGCCTTTCTGATTCTCAGAGTCCTCAAGGATAGGACAACTTCACTGGAAGTGCACTTCATTGGCAACCTCTGGATGATTCAAAGTATAATACCGAATCTACTGGAACACAGTGAAGCAGACCTCATGACAAATTTGAAGGTGATCCATCCATCCATCAAGTCCTTTCAGTTCAAAGTCAAAGAAACTCTCCCCCGTATTTGGGTACTCAGAGCAAGTGAGGCTATACTTTGCCTAATTAGAATCCACAGCCTTTTGAAGGGAGTAATATAGACATGCAGCATGTGTTCAAGCCATGATGATGTTGACAACAAATAGCAAGTTGTACACATCCTGGTGACACGCGATTCTCGAAGCATATTAGATGCCCATCACAAACTGAACAGGGTTTAACACTGACCATGGGCAACAGTACCAGGAAAATTCTAGCTCCAAAACATTTGATCTAATTAACAGAAAAAATAAATTAGCTCAAAAGCAAACACTGTTATAATGCCAGACATTTTTCCCCTCTCAACACTGACATACTTGCCAAGTAAAAATTTTCAGCAAATGTTTTTTACGTGGTGGGTAAAATTTTAAAAATATTACAAAATAAAAATGCTTTTTCAGAGTTATGACAGCTGTATGTGAAATAAGCTCTCAGTATTACCAAATGATCACAAAATTTTCTGTCCTAGACATAAAAAACCACCTAATCTTTGCTACAACACGCAGATATTTTTACTCAAAGTTATTTTCCACAGAAAAACTGTTAAGTTGGCAGATTGACTGGTAAAGGAAATCATATCTATTCCAATCAAGTTACACAGGACTTGAGAAAAAGACTCGTGAACTAAATATAAGCCACTTTATGCAACATCTTTGTTTGAACTTGGTCCCAACTATGCAAGATAACCCTTACTTGCTTTTTACTCAGTGATAAGTGTATAAGTATATTTCAATGAAATGAGAACAAAATCTCAAATACTTGACATTATGAAGTTTTGAGCAACACTTGGGTTTTTCCTCTGTCTATAAGAGAGTATCTGGGAACGTGGGTATGACAGTACTCCATCTTTATCTTTGACATCTCTCCTATAAATTGTGAGCTGCAAATTTGACACATGACCATTCACAACTATATCCATAGGAGAATTCTCCCTTCCCGAGAAGTTTAAACGAAAAGATTGAAAGTTAAAAGAAGAAAATACATTTTTTAAAGTGAATTCTACAACAAATGTAGCAAGAAACTAAAACCATTGTTCTCTGCAGACATAATTAACTTGATATACACACTTCAACGGCAGCCGTCACGCTCAAATTGACAAGTTAGCAGATTTACTCAATCTGGTTATGTATGGTTTCTTGGGTTTGGTTGCAATTGAGAAGATTACTGTGCACCTGATAGCATTTAAAAGAAGCCATGCCACATCCTAGTAGAAAGTGGCGCTCTGACAACTTAGGGTACTCTGTGGCTTACCATTCTGGTGTTAACTAGGTATTTGAGTTTTGCTAGAGATACTTCTTATAGACATTCCACTGTTCTTGTATAGCCACAACTCTTACTTGTATGAAAAATCTTTCTAGAAGTGAGTGGGTATATGTAAAACATTTTGAGTGCGAAGTTCTGGAAAGTAAGAGATAAGCGATGCATTTTGACTTTTCATAAACTATTAATAAATGCAAGAAGGAAAACATTTTACTGCATTAAATATGTTCACCAAGCTGCTGTAACTGGGTATTTCTACAGTTTAATATTCTATAGCAAGTGCTGTAAACAACTGTTTTATTTGCTTATTGAAAGAAGTAGTCTTAAATCTGAGGCTGCTGTTACTAAAGCTTGATTTTGGAAAAGAGGCCTGAAACAGCTTGATAATAAACTTATTTAGTCTGACTTGAGAAATACTATGGAAATCAACATCTGACCTCCACAGTTTCTAAAAATAGTCATCTTTTTTCAACTCCATTTAAATCTTGCATACCTGATGGAAACCACACTTTAATATCTTTGCTGCACATGGCCAAAAAATGGATGAAGAGTAGAAAAGTCAATCCTGTGCTTTCAGCCTTGTAGTTCCAGCATTTTTTATTCAAAAATTCAACTGCCTGACTTTATTTCTTTCCCAGTTGCCACACTAAGTAGCCAGTGGACAAATACTGAAAGGTCAACAGTGGCTTCTCTAATTCCTTGCTATGAACACATACCAAGGAGAGTTATGTGTATTTCCAAAATTGACCTTCAGTTACCAAGACATCTCAAGCAATGGAAGGAACATGAAGGAAGTGGGTGAACTGTCATTTATTTTGTCTTTCTGTGGCATGATAAATTTCAGTGGCTGCCTGCCCTCTACAAGAGCACTAAATTTTGTTTAGGGGAGACAAAGTATTATTTGAATGAAAAAAGTGCTATCATATCATTTCACTGAAGACTAAAAATACTGTGAATTTGATTTTTGGCAAGATCTCTAATTTGTTTTTGAAAGAAATTCTGATCATCTTCCAAAATTAAGACAGAACCTAGCTATCAGCTTCCAAGATTTATTGCCTTCTTTGTATAACTGCTAGAAAATAATTAGCAAGATACACATGGCAATACAAACAATACAGTCTGTATTTTCTTCATTTTGATTGGCACCACAACCAGTATCAAACATCCAGGTCTTATGAATACTAAAGTTGAGAACACAGCTGAGTTGTCTTTAGTGTAATAGTTTTGTATGAAATTCACTGCGCTTACTAAGTAAGAAATTTGGCGAACATAAGATCTCTTTAGAGTGCTGTAATTACACCTGTAGAGAGACACAAAAGCAAGAGCAGCATGCTACTACTGAAAATCACTAAAATAAAAAACGCAAGTATTACTGAAGTGGAAAGGGCATGGCAGTAAAGAGTTAAATGCCTGATAAGAATTTACAAGACTTGACAATTACTAATAATATTACGACTTTTGTTCTTCCACAGTGACTTTTTCAAAAGAGTCAAAATAAAAAATTGCTTTTGAGTAACTGTGAAACTAAAACCACAATACTATTTTTCAACAAAGACGTGATACCACACTTACCAACTGGACTGGTACCAGCTCCATTTGGCACTGTGAGGTCAGTTGTCCCCAGCATTGCACCTAATAAAAATAAGCCAGAGCATTAAACTAACTTGCTCTCATTACAGTATCTTATCATTTTGTACTTCAAAACTTAAGTTAAAAAAAAGAAAATGCACTGATATCATTAGGAACTTGTTACTTTTTTGTTTGTTTGTAGGGTTTTTTTAAAAAAAAAAATAAAAAGAGGGTATAAAAGGAAAGCACAACAGTACTGAAATCTTACCTGCGTTGCCAGTACTCGGTGGTCTCTGAGGGGCCCCAGGTGATACGTTCCGATGCAGGGTGGTCTGAGGTGGGGAGAGCATGGTCGTGTCCGTTAACGATGAACTGGCTGCCAGTGATGGGGATACAAGGGAACTCCCTGGGTTACTGTAGGTTAAAGTGTTGGGATTGGACACTGGAACCGTAACCGACATCGAGAAGTTCTGAGCAGGCAAGCCAGGCTGGAGGAAAGACAACAAGGAATACACACAAGACAACATTAGCATTAACTATGTTTGCAGAAATAGCACATTATAAAAATACACATCGAAGTTTGCCAAGAATTACTCAGGTTAAAAAAAAAGTTAATTATGTTAGTTTTTAAACTCTATTAAGCATACAATTTTAAAATATCCATTTGTTGTAGAGTATGGTGTTAAGCTCTTATACATCATATAAATACAGTTCCAAAAGAATTATTCATAAAACTCTAAAACACTGAAAGCTCAAATACAAAAAAATAGAAGATATTCATGTGAATTCGCAAGCTTAGAAATACAACAAATTTATCAGTTAATTTGGATTATTACAAAGCAATGACAAGCTATACACGTCTACATATCAATGAACTGTTGCACCTTCAAAATGTAAGCATAAACATGCACATTATAAAATAAAGTCAATTATTACACAAAAAAGAAAAAGTTAGTAATAACATTTTCTATTAATAACCTTGCCAAAATATTGCTACTAATCTCTAAAACTTTTTCTTTTTCAATAGATTAAAGAAAGTAAACAGATCTTTAGAAATTCACTAAGTTCAGTAATTTGAATTTAAACATTTCAATTGTCATTATTCTGAGCTGTGTTCCACAAAACCCTGCTTGGATAACCACTCCATCTTGCTTTTTTGCAAATCTCATTTTTTTAAATTCTAGTTTTTACAGCATTATTTAAAAGGCAACTATTTTTTTGAATTATATATGTTTGTTATTCAACAACTATTGGAATCAAAAGCTTAGATGCCTGCCCATCTATGGTACTCATTTGGTTATGACTAACTTCTTCGGCCTTTGTTTCATTCCTATCCTTTGACAGTGACGAGTTTCTGAAACAAAAGGGACTATTTTCTTTCACAACTCTCATAATTACTAGAAACAAAACCATGACAGGTACAATTTAAAGGTAAAAATTCCGTAGTATTTATTGACAGAATAGAGCAATAATAGTTTTGATTTAGAGGTCAAATGCAGATGAGAAACATTCATGACCTAGCAAGTATACTTAAAAAGATGCACTTTTGTCATGTGCAGCTTAAAATTTACTCACAATGATACTTCTGTACAACAACTTTGATAATATTAGAAATACAACAATAACTACACTAATTAAAAGAGCATAATACATTTTCTACAGGAAACAAAATCTCTTACTAGTGAGAGCCAATGACAGTGTCTCTACTGAAGCATTCCTAAGAATAATTATCAATTTTTGGCACAGACAGAAGGAAAAAGTAATGAAGCATAGCGACGTAATGCTAGCAAATCATTCAGAGTATCTAACTAATGACAAGCTGTACTGGCATTTGTTTTCACGGGAAACTACTTCAAGAAACCATTCAATATCTACAAGAAAAAGGTTGTTTTTAAACAGCATTCTGTCAAGTAACTCAAACTAAACTTGAAATACCTGAAGTATGCTTAAAACAATGCTAGAAGCTAGAAGCAGTTGGAACATTTTTTCTGTAGGTTTCTCAATATAGAACTAATAAGTGACAGCTTCCCCCCACACCTTACAATAAAGGCTGCCTCTGCCCATCTATGGTACTCATTTGGTTATGACTGAATTCTTCACGCTTTGCCTCATTCCTATCCTTTGACAGTAATGAGTGCACTAGAACAAAAGAAACTATGTTCTTATACAGACCCATAAGTACTGGAAATAGAACCATAACAGGTCCAATTTAAGCTATAAATACAGACTACAGAGCTAAAGAATAATATTGCCTTTATTATTTACACTGATGTCCACACAGACAATTTAGGCTGTTCATGAAGACCACAGAAAATCAAGGGAGAGCAATTTAGCTGTATGATACTGAGAGATGGGGCCTGAAGAAGATGTCTCACCACAGAAATGTTGGATATCAAAAGCTTCAAAACAAAGCAGGAACAAAAGATATTGGCTTCATTCAAGTATAAAGAACTTGCTAAAAAAAGTGATGCTGGGTGTCATGACTGTCAGTTTGCTGTTAAGTCCCCAGAGATGGCCTCATTGCTCTGAACAATGACATAATTTCTAGTATCAGCAAGTCATTTGGGGACACACTACTCAATTACCCCAGGGTCTGTGCTGATTAACCTAGCCAGTCCCTTTACTTTAATTGCTACAAGATTTGCAATGTTAAAAAATTCAAAGGCTGTGGCAGAGCCCTGTATTAGTTTTCTCAGAAAATACTTCCCCTGTAATACTCAACACTAATTGGTTTTTGCAGATGGAAATTAAATGTCATCAGGTACAACTCCATTAAAAACATGCAAAATTTACACTACTGTTATCCCCAAACTTGTTGAGTTCCGGAGCCCAATAATTCTCTTCCAAGAGTCCTTCTCCACTACATCTTTTTTGCCTTAGACCCAAAAATTGAAGTGGATATATGAAACTGAGGAGAACAGGAATAATCTGCCCAGTAAATATATGGGGTTCAGACAATGACAATTTCATTTTTGAATTAGATAACACTAAAATGAAAAATGATCCTCTGATCACACTATGGGATAGATCATATCGTTCTAAAGCAATTAAGTGACATGGCTGCAAATGGCTTAGGCACTTTGGACAAAATTTTCAAAGATCTTTCAGTGTCCAAGGAAGTATCTGTTAGAATTTCAATAGGAGTAAGACACCAATCTTCTGAGGCTCCCATTGCACACCAGTCTTTATCTTTGAACATCTAAATACCTTTCTACATCCAGTCTTCAGCAAAATAAATTCCACTGATTTGATGACAAAATTAATCTAATCCTATTTGCCCGCTTGTAATATATTGTAAAATCTTGATCAACAGACAGACGAAGAGTTACAAGATGTAAATAAACTATCCTACATCCCATGACAAAATCTTTTAAAAAATATTTTAGATAGAATTAGGTAATACAGCTAGGCTCCTGAAATTTAGAAATGTTACCTCATGTTCATAAGGTATGAAAAACTGAGTGCAAAAGAGAAGCCAGAGATAAATCTTTTTATTCTTTACGGTAAAATGTATTTTAACAAGATCCAGTATCAGCATCTCATTTTTCCTCAAAAACATACATTCCCTTCTCAAACCATTACATCCTCTTGTCCTTGCAGTGGTATTCAGTGGTAAGCAAACACTGTGAAAATTCTCATGCATGTAATAGAAGCACAAACCATACTTTAGTACTCACTGCGATTTTATGATTCCGCATCATATTATCAAACTCTTCATTAATTTTTTTATATTTTTCTTCTGTATGTGGCGTGAGCACATATGAAGTGTCAGGGTCCGGGCTGTCGCACCCTCTGTGTTCCTTCTTGTTCAGAGCCTAAATAATGAAGTTAATAAAAAGGATCAACAAATAAAAAGTAGAGATAAAATAAAAGTACTTACAGGGCCTCGCTTGAAAATAAAATCACTATCTTCATTTAGTTTGCTGAATCTGTCCTCCGATAGTGGACTGTGCTCAAAGTAATCGTCAGCATCAGGGCTCTCACAACCATTAAGGCCTTTCTTTCTTAAGGTCTGAAATACAATTGGAAAATTCACATACAAATCATACTAACTTGCCAAGAAGTTTTGTATACTACTGAATCATTCAGAGCCACTGAAACGACATGAAACTTTCACAGACAAAACTCACTGTTCAACAAACAGGCTTAGTCTTTCAAAATAGTGGCATAGTACGCAAACAGACAAGGTTCATTCAGAGGCACAATCTCTCCCAGGTGCCATCTCATGGGTAACTTTAACCTACACCCATTTCATCTCTCCAGTGTTCCATGAAAAAACGTTTTTAGATACTGGCTGATGGAGTAAAGTTGCCTGACATATAAGGAACATTCAAGCCTATGGCAAAGGAGTTAAAGTCACCACTGGTAATTAAAAGCCAGTTTACTGGATCTTTAATAAATTGATTTTAGCACCCCAATTTTAATATTCACATTTTAAAGAGCATAAAGTTAAACTCTGAGAAACACAGCAGCTAAAATTTTCAATCGAATTCAACAACTGCAGTGCATTACTATAGGTAACACTTGGTCTCAGCAGTTTATAAAGGCACGATTTTCCTGCACTTCTGTCAGTCCGCATGATAACAAGAGCTGCAAAAATTATAAAAAGAAATTACATAATCCCTCCCTAAAATGACTTAGTTTGCTAAATGTAAGTTTTTTCAGACTCCTTTAGACTAACTTGATGCAACTGCTTTATTGGGCTACTTCCTCTTTTCTGATGGAGAACTCACATCAACATCCCCGGGGGGGGGGGAACAAAAACAAAACCAAAAACCAACCAACAACTTGTCTACCATCTAGGCATTTCCAATAAGCTACTGAAAAAAGGATGTGAAACTACAAGTCTCGTGACCAAATTTTAAAAGATATTTGTATTCCTTGTTGTTTTTCTTTTTCACCCTATTACACAATCAGAAGTCTTTCTTTGCAAGTTCTCATTTATAACAAACCAAGATTTAAAATGCTACCTATGGAAAAATCTTTAGTGTTTCAAAAAAGTTTCAAAAGGAAAGCAATATAAATTTTTAAACAGGTACACATTAGCAGTACACAAGACAGCAGCAGGATTATACAGGAATGAGGGAGTCGTGTTTTCTTTTTTTGAGAAATTATTTATATTCTATGAATTTTACTCTAAAAACCCTAAAGATTTGAAATCTGCATGTTGATGTTCTCAGCACCATAAAGAAATTGCATTTGTTTTCCTACAGAAGCTATATGTTTCCACAACACTGAATTGCTGATTAAAAAAAAGTTTTAGTTTAGACTATGGTATTCATCAGCATTTTCTCTTAAAGTGCTATCTACTAATTTTTAGTACAATAAAAAGTACACAAGACTTGCTCACTGTTCATACACATGCAAAATATTGACTTCAGTTTTAAAGCAGTACTTGAAAATTCAATTACGCCATCTGAAATTCTTTAATATCACAGGTCACCATAAGCTACAAATTCCTTCTCAAGTTTCTTGGCTTGCTCTACATATCCCACACAGTATCTGGAACTCCCACAAAAATGTAATCACTAAACCAGCATACGGGGAAAACAGGTGTAGCTTCCTCCAACACCTGTCACGGCACTGATCCTGCTCCTCTAACCAATCAGCTGGACACGTATATGGACTTGGCCATACAAGGGCCGGCTGTTTGGCCTCTCAAGGTCGGAGCCTGTTATCCCTCTCCCAGCCCTTCCTAACAAGTCAGCCTGCCAGTCTTCTACACTTTGATATCAGCAGGGAAAATGTTAACACTGTATAATCTGGATTACACTGAACCCCTGCAACCCACAGAATTCTGTAAATAGAATCCAAATATGTCTTTACATAGGGCTCAGCGTCAACATGCATACGCAGTGCCCAAGACACAACTAGAAGCTGTATTTAGATACTTTAAAGAAAGATCTTGCAAGAAATACACATACTGTCTAGTTCACCTCCTTTGAGAAAAACATTAGAGCAATTTGAAGTATCACAGCATGGGAGTTTCATTAGTACTCCTTTCAATATTCTAAAACAATCAAGCGAAAGCTTTTCAGCATAATGCTGCCGATTCATCCTCCCGGATCTGTCTGAAAATCATACTCAAAGTTCTAACATAAAGGAAGAGATTTAGTTAAATATAAAAATGCATCCTTCCCCTTAGCAACTGGTTATTTTTATTTTTGATAACAATGGGGTTAACTCTGCTTTGACTCATGAGGAAGGAAAATGCCTCAGTATCTCCCGTTTAAGATTCTGGAAACCTTCACTCCAGATGGGGTTCCTGTCATTGTGGAAGGATTTAAGCCACGGTTCACTGTTACAGATAATAAGTCTGGGTCTGATATCCAAAGCTCTGTCTCCTTATCAGCTAAAACACGAACTGCCACTTTGAGGACCTAACCATAAAAAGACTGCCAACTTTATCATTGCCCAGTAACATAATAGTAAAACATTTCTGCTCCGTGGCTCGTACTAACAAGTGGAATGCTGTAATCTGTTCACACGGCCCGGCGAGGCCTACACAAGACAGCCCAGCCTCGGCTTTCTCACAGGCTACAGAGAGAGACACGATAACAGGCCCTTGCTCAAGGGAAAACAAGGAAGGCTATGACTACTGGGAATCGCTCTGTGGGGACACAGGAAAGCCAAACTCCATAAACAAGTGCTGACTCCACCCTCGAGATTCTCTATAGCTAAAATTTGTTATTTCTCCGATTCATGTAAATAACTCGCCCTCCCTGAGCTATTTCCAAGATATTATCATGGAGACTGAAATTTTATTAACTCTGAAGATAAGGGGGATGGGAGGGAGAAAAAAAAAATACCAATTAGTGAGACCAAATAATATTTGTGCAACACTAAGAGTTTTATTTCTCAGCTGTGATACACAAGCTTGCTTAGAATAAAACCAGAGTTTTTGCAGTTGAGGCTAATAAATATAGAACATAAATTTTCTTACTACAACAAGAGGGAAAAAGAACATTAAATTTCAAGTTTTGCTATTGGATGCTCACTGCAATTACCTTCTGATGTTAAGTCTTATTTTCCAGATCATCTAAGGGAATGTGTAGCCTTTTGAGTTAATCTGTATTACTTTCCACTTCCTAAGACTTAGCCAAAATTACTGGAAATTGTTCCAATATGTTTGCCAACGCACTGTATTGTGCCTTCAGTAATTGAGATTGTGCAGCTTTGATATTAGACTGGATTAACTAACTGATGAGAGAAAAGTACTGATTTTTGTCAGAAAATAATGCAAAGAATTTATGAGGAACAAAGGCAGGTATGAAATTTTTTTTAAAAGAATCAAGCAAACACAACGACATAGTTGTGTGACATACAAAGTGCTATACAAGTGTTCCAGACAGTTGTGGTCATCTTGATATTGCAGAATGACCCTGAAGTTTTAAACTGCTTTTGTAAAACTGAAATATGCAAATATTATAATTATTAGTTTAATATTCATTTATTTTAATTTTTTTGAATGACAGAGCTTAGAAAACGTTGTATGAGAACGGCTGGACTAGCTATGACAGGTTTAAATATCACATTCAAGCACATGGTACAAGAGCCCCAATATTTTCCTGAACTTCCCCATACATATGCAAAGTAATTTTTAACTGCAGTGTATTTTTGCTAATTTAAGAAAAGAATCATGCCTTGGCAAGAAGCATCTAAGGAACAGCAGAAGGGCTTCTTGCAAAACAACAACAACAAAATAATTAGCTTGTCTCTACAATTCAAAAAATTTTACTGAAACCTGTAATACAAATACCAAAGAGTACAAAAATACAATAAAGTTATTTATTGTATGATCCATGAGGAACAAAGATGGCATTCAACCATCACAGTGTAATTATCTTAGCATAAGCTTCCTTCCACAAAACCCAACAGAGAAATATGAAATGCAGGAGCTTTAAGCCCACTGAGTCTCCACAGCGTGATATCAAGTCACCACCTTCTCCAAGGCTTGTTCCAGCCCAGCTGCATGCAGCGTCTCTCGCACAAACTTACACTGGCTCAATATACTGGTCATCAGCAGTTCTGGAAACCAGAAACTTTGAACTAATAAACACAGATTACTGCTACCAGGGATGAAGTTAAGTGACAACCCCCAACTGTCCTCCTCCCCGTGAAAGATCCTGGTTTTTATATCCGACCCTGAAAGGACATGTTGCTAATGGTTAAAAGAGCACAATCAGCATGTTTTGTGCTCCGATTCAGTGAGTGTGGTTAAAAAGCCAAGACTTCTGATATTAGTGATCTGGGCTCCTTACCAGCTCTGGCAAAACTGTAGAGAACTTGATTATGTTCATTGTCACCTCAGGAAATAATATTTTTCTGCCTTAAAGCAAAAAAGTAGGATGACCTCATATGTAAGAAGTGTTATGAAGTGCAAAAAAGTGTCAGTTCATTCACAGCATTTTCAGTGTTGGGTTTCTTGTTACACAAAAAGGAAATGGTTGTTGCTATCAATGCTACTATGTATCATATTAACAGCTCTGGTTTTGCACTTACTATTGGAGCTGGCCAAACAGGATTTTTGTTAGTGTTTCATCCCAAATCATAAGGAAAAAAAATCTGACTAAGATTGAAAAGCGATTTCCCTTGGAAAAGGCAAACCTTTCACTTAAAACCTGTGGCTAGTTCTGCTGTTTCTGCTGTTGCAGTCAGAGCACGGAAAAGCTGTGAAGCTGCACAAATTTGGAGTAAATACTTTTTAAAAAAATTGTAATTTAAAAAAGCTTAAGTATCCCTCAGGCCTGACGTAACGGAAAGGCTCCACTAGTACTGCCAAATATTACTGCTGCTCCAGCAGGCACGTACACCATGGTTATCTCAAAAGGATACCAATTAAACAGTTTCCTCATGCTCTAGAGAGCTGCCATGCAATAGTGGAGGGGGAGAGGACACTGCTGCCACTTGCACCAAATTCCAAAGGCTCCTCACCCACAAATGTAGCTGCCAAGCGCTCACACAGCTCTGTGCAGGAAAGACAGGACTGAGCATCACTCTGTCATCTGTCAT